TTTACTGTTAGTGATATTACATTGTGCAGATGAGAAGCCCAGACAAAGCATAGTTAATTAACTTGCCCATTGCCACTCATCAAGTCAGTGATAGAGTAAGGACCAGCACTGACATCTTCTGCCTCCCCAGTCAGTGTTTTAACCACTGGACCACACTGTCTCCTTATGAACACATACATAAAAAAGCTAAGTGAGATCAAATGACTGATTCATGACAACTGATGGATTTCCAGTAATTCTGAGCCTTTATTTTCAATTACAGACATACAAAGGGGTGTAGAAAGTGTGTGGAAGGGATTTCAAAATATGATGTTGGTTTTCTTGAGGTCAGCATTGGGGGAGTTATTTTTAATTTTGGAGCAGTAGGGAGCTGCACAAAAAAAGCAAAATTCAAAATTGTAGCATTGAGAGAATCTCTACCTAGTTGCATTTCTGCTTTTCACTGAATGAAGCCAGCTAGCAAACTAGAATTACTTAGACAATATTTTAGAAAGCTTGCAGGACACCTGGCTCCTTCCCTCTAATCTGCATTCTGTGGAGATTTGCTGGGACTATTTTGGGTACCGGACATTCTGGAATTGCTCTCAGTGACTAGGAAATGCTGAGTCGTGGCAGATTTTGGCCTTTAGTGAGAAGGAGCCCAGCGAGAGCTGTGAGTCAGAAGCAGCGTAGCAGGTGGCAGAACAATGCACAGCTAACTGGGTGACTATGTGACTGCCTGAGGGTGGCTGTATTGGCTCACTTGAAGGAATGAAGAACAGAGGAGTGGGAGGAAGACAAAAGCCTATCTGGGATAGGAGCCAGGTTTAGACTAGGAGATAGAGGCTGAGTGGGGAGGAGGGCCAATATGTGGATGCATCTGGGCCCCATTTAGGTTTAATACATCCCTTGGATGCTTTTCATAATTGCAACCCAAATGCTTTCTTTATGAGATGGAGGAAGAATCTAGGAAAATAATCAAATATTTTAAGATCTGAGTTTGCTAACATGAAAGAAGAAAGAAATAGCAGTAGTTAGAAATCATGATACTTCGAGAAATGAACTGTAGGTGACAGAGCATATTAGTCAATTAATCATATTCTGATAGTGCTTTTACCTATGTACCTTTGATACAGCTACATAATAATATTGGGGCCTGAACCTGCAAACAGTTACACATGTGAGTATTTGAGTAGTCCCAATGAGTTCACATGGAAGCATTTGCAGGATTGAGGTCTTAGTTCAGAAGAAATTAAGTTGCTTATGTTCTATTATTTTTGCTGTTGTGATTGGCATCATTTGCAGTAGAATTAATTTCCCTGCAGCTAATGATGCCCTTGAATGTACCTCAGAAAGATATTTACTCTTATGCCCACAAAGTTTATTCTCTTTTACTGAATGCAACATGGGGAAAGAAACTATGAAAATCTCAGTTCATTCCAGTTATTCAGAAGTTTGAGATGTAGAAAAATACAGATGTCCTTCAGGTCTGATTTATATTTCTCTCATGAAATCATACCACCTGTCTGCTTTAGTTTCCTGCCAGTTCCTACAATGATTTATTCATCAAGTAATGTCATCAGGTACTGTGGCTAGTCATTTGAAATTGGACAGTTTGTGTGTCTGCCAATCTATTACCCTCTTACCCTCCAGTACATACCAATGATCTCATGTAGCAGCCAAGACACTATATATAATGTTTGCTCTTTACTCAGAGAATGGCAGCTTGCCATGTAAATCAGGGTAGAAGAAGGTGTGTGTGAAGAATCTTTGGCTTCACATAGCTTGCCAGGGATCTATAGATTTTTTTTTTTTTTTTGCTTCAGGCTCCCACAGATCCTTTGTTTTCGGGGGTACAAGAGGCCTTGTTCTTTCCACAGGTCTCAATCTCAGCTCAGTGAAGGCATGACACAGCAAAGAAACCACTGCAAGACCTCACAACAATGTAGAAGGGTTTATTTCTTTACGGTATTTTTTCACAGGAGGGAATGGTCTCTCTCTAATTTCCCAGTCTCAAATGCCATAGGCAATTTATTGCTCAGGTTAATTTAGTGAGATTCAGCAGAAAAGTTGGCTACATTTGTTTCATGGTTAGCCTATTTAACATCTGAGGGGAAAAGATTCTGTTTTCATCAAGCGCATTCATTTTGGAATATGCTTAAGATGCTGTAGGCATATCCTTCTTGAAACCAGATCTAAAATCAGCTGACAATATTTTCCTTGATGTTTATCACAAATGCATTGACCCCAGTTCTGAGCTGTGGCTCAAAGCAGCTCACAAGGCAAGGGGGGAAAGCGCTTCATGGCCCATTTATGGGACAACAGATTCAGGGCTGGCTGGGAGACGATTTGAACTTTGGTGAAAGCTAGAGGAGCCAGAGGGCTGCTATAATTTACACTCAGCTGTAATAGCCCACAAGAAACTTTTGTCCCTGAGAATAGCCAGATCACAGCAGCATTTTCTTCATTCCCCTTTCCCTGGGAAAGCTCCTGGCATAGCCTTATGACTAGCATAAAGGGGAAAGGGAGGCAGGTCTATATTGTCCTGGCAATCTGATTACACCAATGATATTCTCCAAGGGCCAGATCTGGCTAGTTCATGGCCACAGTGGAAGCAGGAAGTAGGGTATCTGTTCTTTTTCAGACAGTGGAGTCATTCTGACATAATGAAAATATTGGTAAAACTTCTGCAAAGTTTTATATTTATTCATCATTAAAATTAACATTTCTAAATTTGATCTAGTGAAGTAAAATGAAATTATGGATTATATGTAAAAGTATTTTATCTTTTGCTTATATTCATGTATACTATACACTTCAGTGTCTGATTTTAATTTCTTGTTGGAGGAGGCCAGCAGATTTTTTTGTTTTTGTTTTTAACCTTATTGAGGCTTTTAGATCCTGTTTATACTATAGTTGAAATCATACTAGCAACAAGTTGTTGACTCTAGCACAATTCTACCATCGTTTCTTAGTTAGCTTGGCCAGGGATTTTTTTCCTGAGCAACTTACTAGCCAAACCATAGACTCTGTAGCATGATATAAAAACAAACACCCTAGAGAGCTTTACAGCATTGTTCTAAAACCCAGTACAGCACAGTTTATATGAACTAATTCCTGCTTATACTGGTACCATCTGCACTTGAATTTCAACCATGTCAATTCTCCCTCAATGATTCAATTTTGTAGTGTAGAATGGACCTGCCTGTGTTTTCAGAGTGTTTATTAAGTCTGGGACATGTCCACGTGTGCTCTAACCAGATTCCCCAATACAGATGAACATATAGCATAAATGAAATCAATAGCCTGGGAAACTGGATCTGTGAACAAGACCGCATTAAGCATTACATATAATCTCCTGTCTTCATAATGTCATGAGCCATCTACCCAGACAAATTTACTATGTAAGGAGATTGGGGTATAATACTTCAGTGCCCCCAATGACATTATAACACAGTTTGATCTTGCCAGTGTATATGCAACCAATCATGTCACTGATTCATGTTACTGCCCTATAAAAATCAGGGCTCTTTCTCTCTTTGTTTCTGATATTGTGTCTATCACATTTTCTTTTAAAATTTATAATATTAGGCAAAAGTAAATTTAATTAGTTTCTTCAAAGTATATAAATCCTAATTAAAAATAGCGGGGCAAGCAGTCACTTAGTATCTTTTTGAAGTTTATAACTATGTTCAGTTGTGTGCTGTCATGAAAGAAGAACTCTTAGAGGCACTGATCCTGCCCCCTTCCACATCAGTGGGAGTCCAGAGGGATGCAGGAGTCTGCTCTCCTTATGCAAGATCAGGGTCATGGCTACTAGATTAATGTGTATCATGTCTCAGTATTGATATTACTTCCTCATTATGAATATTTCCCATACCATGAATAGTTACTGCCTTATTTATGTATTTACATGGCTTTTCCAATCAGTAATCATTCCTGTAAATGTATTTTAAGCTAAAATAACTTCATATATAATTCAAACTAGTTGCAGGTAAATAATTGGAGTGTTACTCATTTCCCACTGGTGCTTTACATTTCTACCAGGATTGGAAAAGTACTCTGTAGTTTAAAGGCAGTATGGCAAGGCATTCTAAGAAGCAGATTAAAGGGAGATATGAAGTTCCTTGAATTTAAGATGCGGGTCAGAGCATGTGTGTATTCACGTTCTCTAAGTTATATGTCATCTTATTCTGATTTCTTGATTTTTGATTAATGCTTGGAATGTGAAATATTAAATGGGTACACCTCTGGGTTTAATATATCACTGTCTACCTGTTTAATCAAGAATGAATTAATGAAACAACTGAGCATGTAATTAGTAATTCTTTATTATTTCCATTTACTTATATTTAAAGTACTGTTTCTGAGGAAAAATGACAAGAGACATTACCAAAAAAATGCCAAGCGAAAAATGACATGACTGGCAAAATTTAGTGGACATTTTCTTCATTTAATACTGCACCATTTTGTGTTCCCAAAGTTGGGGGGGAAATATCTGCAAATTTGCCATTTTTCTGGCCTCACATGTGAATTTGTCCCACAGTCTTTCTGACTTGTAATTGAAACTGTGTAAAACCAGGCCACGTAAGGTCTCATTTTGTTATCCCTAACCTAGAGCTCACTCCTTCAAGGGGCTGAACTCTCTGGTCCCAATCCAGCAAAGCCCTTAAGCATGCATTCAGCTTTAAGCATGAGTTTTCCATTATCACATGCTTAAAATTAAACAAGTGCTTAAAGGCTTTGCTGGATCAGGGATACAGCACTCAGATTCTTGCAGGATTGAGCTCCTAAAACACAGACCAGGTTGACCAAGCCTCATAAACCTTTGTGCCTGAACTGGGTTTCAAGAGAAGCTGAGCTGATTTATGGCTTTGGATGGACACTGGCAAAATATGGGTTATGCTGAGTTTTTGTTTAAAGGGGGTGGTTTGTTTGAAGCCAGGGGTTTGGTGTCTGTGTCTATACAATGTCTGATTGCAAACGTTGCAGAGAGATCAATAATAGAGACCACACCAGCGTTTTAAAAAAAATCTATTTACTTAGCATCCATTCTGCTGTGTGGAAGGTCAGATTACAGAATACAAAATACAGGAGCCCTAGAAGTACAAACTGGTATTCCATCTACATGGGCATATGCAGGTCCAAGCAGATAGAACGGAAACAGTTTGAGTTGCCCAGTTGAGGGTTAATGACCGAGTTTCATCTGACAGTACTTTGGACCACAACAAAAGATATCGGACTTTTTATTTTTCTTAGTAAACTCATGCTACAGTCACACTTTGCTCTTTGATTGTAAATTTTACAGCAGTACGCTAAAAGCCATCATATTATCTTTACTTTTCCTTGACTTGCAAAAGTTGCATATATTACAAATAGTACTGGTAATAAAGTCCTCAGTATAATACTCACATTTTTCCATCTTTGGACCAATTTCAGCAGCTTGTCATGTAGGTGAGCCATTATCTTGCTTTTTTTTTTTTTTTTTTAAAGCAGAGTTTTTACATGAGTGTTGGGTGGTGTAGCGGGGTGATTACCCGCTCCGGCCCTGACAGGGCTGGGGCTGTGGGGGAAAAGCCCAGCCGGATTAAGGGAGCAGCCGCAGCTGTGGCCAGCTCAGTCAGGCCCAGCTGGCCCCATAAGAGGCTGTGAGCCAGGAGCCCAGTCAGTCTTCCTCTGCCTGGAGAGGGAGAAGGGCCTGGCTGCAAGGTGCTGAGCAGCACACCCAGATTGGAGCAGGGCTGGGGAAGGGCCAGAGGAGCTGGGAGCCCCGGCCTGGAAAGCCTCAGGCTGCAGGCCTGATTACAGGCTGAATAGGTGCAGGGTTGCAGAGGGGCAGCCCATGGGTAGCAGGTCCAAACCCCCTTGCCTGTGATGAATGGCATATACACTGCAGTCTGCCCCTGATACAAGGGGCTAAGTGGGGACTGGCAGTAGCCCAAACTGAGGCAAGGTGGAGTTAGAGGGTGGGGGTTCCTCTGGGTGGGGAGACCCAGAACCTGAGAGTGTGGGGGTACTGCCAGAGAAAGGGACACCGGGTCCTGGGAGGGACACAGGGGCTGGCGGTAAGGCGGATCACCGGGCTGCAGAGGGCGCTGTGGGGCTGGATGAGCTAATTCCCAATGACTGCCAGCAGGAGGCGCCATAGGAGTGAGTCCAAACCTTTACAGGTGATAATAGATTCACAGAAAACCAGATTCCTGAATTACACAAAGATACAGGGTCTAGCATATGATAGGTTGCATGCTAACAAAAGTGTACAATAGTGTATTGAATTTTAATACACAGATACTTCTGTTAAAATAAAAAGTCATATAAAACATGCCAACACAGTATCACTCTGCCATCTCACTTAGGGCCTGAGTTTACCTGCATTGGCATTAGAAAGTCTAAAAATTAAAGGTAATTGCATGTGGACATCCATTTCTCCTGCACAAGCGCTGATCTTACATGAGAGCTCAAAAACGTTCACAGGCCCAGAGGCATAGAAGAAGGATATGTTATTTTGTTGCTGGTCCACAAAAAAATAAAACTACAAGGACAACAAAAAAACCCAATTCAGTATAAGAGCAATTTTACACATGCCATACAATAGGTATGCCTGTCCCTTCCTCTTAATATTCTCTTATCTCCTTCACCTTGAAATGGCAGCTATAATCTTCCAATCTCCTGCTTCAGTCTGATGGTCAAATTGTGCCATTTATTCACTGGGCTGGGCAGTGGACAATGTGGAACTGTACAGCCCCACAGGTCTAAGGGAGATGTAATTCCCTCCCTCAACAGCCTGGTGAATATGGGACTATGCAAGCTATATCATCTGCAAGGACAGTGCAACATGATCCACTAAATGCAGCCAGTCCATTCTCTGTGCCAGCACAGCACCCTACCTCCTACCTGTTCCATACGGGATGCTTGCGCCAGGAGAGACATGCAAAGTAGCCCCTGTGCTCCTCTGTGCTAGGGGGAGCTACAGGTGATCCATGTCCCTCAGGGTATTCACAACTGTCTAAAGGCCAGATTTTAAACAGTATTTATTTAGACACCTACAGATGCAGATAGGCACCTAATGGAAACTTCAAAGCACCCAGACCCCTAACTCCCTTTGGGAGTTGTGCAGGATTGAGCTCCCAGTGGGAGTCAGAGGCTAGGAGCTTTTGAAAATCCCACTAAGTGCCTATCTGCATCTTTAAGTGCCTAAATACATTTAAAAATTCATCTCCAAGTGACTGATTTGTTCTGTAAGGAGGATTCTGAAAAATCAGAGAAATATTGCACTGGAACAGTACAAGTACTTCCACATAACATCAGATGTAATTACTACACTCTACTAGTCTCTCATCACTGTGTATTGTGACCATTTTCAATCGAGCATGTAATTAATGTAAAGTCCTTCAAACAATATCACTGGCCTACTATGGCAGCTCAGGTACAGCTAACAATCTTGTTGTGCTTTGGATGTGAAAATAAAAGTATGTGATGCATGAAATGGAAGCAGACGAGCATATTTTATTAGATAAGTAAATGTGGTGCTTATTGCAGAGAGTGAGATATCAAACCCCATCATTACCAAGACTATATCAAGGGCCTGAGCATGCAATCCTAAAACAGACAAACCACACATATTGAATTATATGGCAGTTTTGCCTGAGCTACGGCTGTAGGATTGGGCTGTTAAAGTAATGGTGAGATGAGAACACCACAAGCATTAGAGGAATGCCAGAAAAATAGATTCCTCAATCTCAACCACTAAACAAGGATGAGAGAAAGACTGAAGATGTTACATAAGCCATGCACTAGTGGGAAACGTGAAAGTAAGGGGAAGAAAGCTCCACCTAAAAAGCCTGTGGCATCACTACCACAGGTGCAGTCAGGGGGGAAACTGGTCTTCTGATAAAAGCTCAGGAACAGGGGTTAGGGAATGAATGTCCTCTACCATATGCTCCCTGTATGACCATGGGGAAATCATGTGTGCCTCAGTTTCCCCAGCCATCAACTAGTCAGAAAAGGGCATTGGGAGGGTGTCATAAATATAAAGGGAAGGGTAAACACCTTTAAATCCCTCCTGGCCAGAGAAAAAACCCTTTCACCTGTAAAGGGTTAAGAAGCTAGGATAATGTTGCTGGCACCTGACCAAAATGACCAATGAGGAGACAAGATACTTTCAAAGCTGGGGGGGGGGGGCAGAAACAAAGGTTCTCTCTGTCTGTATGATGCTTTTGCTGGGAACAGAAAAGGAATGGAGTCTTAGAACTTAGTAAGTAATCTAGCTAGATATGCATTAGATTCTGTTTTCTTTAAATGGCTGATAAAATAAGCTGTGCTAAATGGAATGTATATTCCTGTTTCTGTGTCTTTTTGTAACTTAAGGTTTTGCCTAGAGGGATTCTCTATGTTTTGAATCGGATTACCCTGTAAGGTATTTACCATCCTGATTTTACAGAGGTGATTCTTTTACTTTTTCTTCAATTAAAATTCTTCTTTTAAGAACCTGATTGCTTTTTCATTGTTCTGAAGATCCAAGGGGTTTGGTCTGTGTTCACCGATGCAAATTGGTGAGGATGTTTATCAAGCCTTCCCCAGGAAAGGGGGTGTAGGGTTTGGGAAGATTTTGGGGGGAAAGACTTTTCCAAGCAGGCTCTTTCCCTGTTATATATTTGTTAGACGCTTGGTGGTGGCAGCTATAAAGTCCAAGGGCAAAAGGTAAAATAGTTTGTACCTTGGGAAAGTTTTAACCTAAGCTGGTAAAAATAAGCTTAGGGGGTTTTTCATGCAGGTCCCCACATCTGTTTCCTAGAGTTCAGAGTCAGGAAGGAACCTTGACAGAGGGTTAACTAATTCAGGGCAAAAGCTGCCATCTCTCCACATGCAGAAGAGTCTCAGATGCTGTTGAACCCTGTAGTTGTGCTGTGTGTACATGTTTTGGAAGTTCATGTGGGTTGGAAACTATGTGTGTCATAGTTCAAACTGTTCAGTGTAGACTAGCTGTGTTACTGTGCTCGGCTTCTTGGGTACAGGATCATTGGGTCACTGACCAAATCCTTCCCACTTCCCTGGAGTGGGCCGCAAGAACTGCAGAGACTACTCTATTCCTGAGACTGGGAAGTGGGCCTCAGGGCAGGCTCTCTAGAAGAGGATTACCTCTCTGTTCCCTCAAAGATCATCAGTCCCCAGCCCAATTATTCTGGGTGGGTGCTAAGAAGAGGATTTTCCCCCTTCATGTTCGTAAAAGGCTTTGAGCAGCTCAGATAAAAAATGCTGTAGAAATAAATGCAAAGAATTATTATATGGAAGTTCCAATGTAATTACATTGCTAACAATGTTCCAATTCTCACATTTATCATTCTATCTTCATATTTGCACACATTCTACACTGTAGGTAAATCTGGCTTTTTCCTTAGACACTGGTGTTACATTGTAATCACTTCATTTTGCAAACACTTACTACAGTGGGGCCCTCTTATATTGTAACAATTTCTCACTGAACAACTTCATTCTAAGTAGAGGATCACTAGAACCAGAACTGGAATTTGCACATTACAATGGGAGGCCGTTTTGGACTTCCATTCTGCTTCCCTAGAAAGGTGTTTTCACTGTATGTGAGTTCACTAAAAAAAGACTCCACTGATGCTAATCTGTACATATTGTATTATAGGTATGGGGCGTGAAATGCACTTCCTTTGCTGCTCTGTCTGCCAGGCACCTCCAATACTATACTGACATCAGTGGAGTGATGATAGTGCAGCAGATGACCTATAGAACCAGTAGAGAAAAGGGTTAATGTATTATTATGAAGCACCGAAACAAACACCTCCAAATACAGGAAGATTCCAGCACCTCTTGTTTGTGAAAGTTGCTCTGCCTCATTTTATAAAATTTGTAGATTTGGTTTTATTTGCAAAACTCATTTCCATTCAGAGAAGCACAAAATGTTTTCACTGAGGACAATTCCTTTCTAAATATCAAAATAATATAAAGTATCTACTACTTTGAATGGGTTCACAGAAATAAATATTTTTCTGTCCTAATATAATCCATCGTCTCATTTGCTTTTTTAATCACTGGTATAAATTGAGCAAGCATCTTAATTGAGCTGTTCACAATGACCCACAGATCTTTCTCCTGAGAGATTACAACCAATTCTAAACCCACAGGCATTTGCACAAGTAGTTTAAATTGTTGTCCCATTGTACTACATGTTGTTTACTTCAGACTGCCTCAAATCCATTGGACAGTTTCCTCTTCAAGAATTTCACAAATAAACGATTAAATTTAGCAGTGTCGAACACACTTCCACTACCTTTGTCGCCTTTTATGATGAGATTACTGGTTCTGTGGATGAAGGGAAAGCAGTGAATGTATTGTTTCTTGACTTTAGCAAAGCTTTTGACACGGTCTCCCACAGTATTCTTGTCAGCAAGTTAAGGAAGTATGGGCTGGATGAATGCACTACAAGGTGGGTGGAAAGCTGGCTAGATTGTCGGGCTCAACGGGTAGTGATCAATGGCTCCATATCTAGTTGGCAGCCGGTATCAAGTGGAGTACCCCAAGGGTCGGTCCTGGGGCCGGTTTTGTTCAATATCTTCATAAATGATCTGGAGGATGGTGTGGATTGCACTCTCAGCAAATTTGCGGATGATACTAAACTGGGAGGAGTGGTAGATACGCTGGAGGGGAGGGATAGGATACAGAAAGACCTAGACAAATTGGAGGATTGGGCCAAAAGAAATCTGATGAGGTTCAATAAGGATAAGTGCAGGGTCCTGCACTTAGGACGGAAGAACCCAATGCACAGCTACAGACTAGGGACCGAATGGCTAGACAGCAGTTCTGCGGAAAAGGACCTAGGGGTGACAGTGGACGAGAAGCTGGATATGAGTCAGCAGTGTGCCCCTGTTGCCAAGAAGGCCAATGGCATTTTGGGATGTATAAGTAGGGGCATAGCGAGCAGATCGAGGGACGTGATCGTTCCCCTCTATTCGACATTGGTGAGGCCTCATTTGGAGTACTGTGTCCAGTTTTGGGCCCCACACTTCAAGAAGGATGTGGATAAATTGGAGAGAGTCCAGCGAAGGGCAACAAAAATGATTAGGGGACTGGAACACATGAGTTATGAGGAGAGGCTGAGGGAGCTGGGATTGTTTAGCCTGCAGAAGGGAAGAATGAGGGGGGATTTGATAGCTGCTTTCAACTACCTGAAAGGGGGTTCCAAAGAGGATGGCTCTAGACTGTTGTCAATTGTAGCAGATGACAGAACGAGGAGTAATGGTCTCAAGTTGCAGTGGGGGAGGTTTAGATTGGATATTAGGAAAAACTTTTTCACTAAGAGGGTGGTGAAACACTGGAATGCGTTACCTAGGGAGGTGATAGAATCTCCTTCCTTAGAGGTTTTTAAGGTCAGGCTTGACAGAGCCCTGGCTGGGATGATTTAACTGGGAATTGGTCCTGCTTTGAGCAGGGGGTTGGACTAGATGACCTTCTGGGGTCCCTTCCAACCCTGATATTCTATGATTCTATGATTCTACCCTTTGCATGTTTATTTTACACATCTATTGAAGTTTTCATTTTATGCCTTTCTTTCCTCCCTAATGTCCATGCTCGCGTCTGGAAATATATTACTTATTATCTAATAAAATAATAATAATCCCAGATTTCTATTTGCTTCTAATCTGAGAGGGAGCAGAGTCCAGTGGCTATAGCATAAGGCTTTGAAGGCAGGAGTTCTGGATTCTGTTCTTGGCTCTGCCCCTGAATTGCTGAATGACCCTCAGTATGTCATTAATCTTTGAGACTCAATTTCCCCACCTGTAAAATGGGGTTAATAATCCTTATCCTAATAATCCCATAACCTGCTCTTTGTGATAAGGACCATGCAGTAGGAGGTGCCATCTTCTAGGTGTGACATAAAACTAAGGTCTTCGCTTGTGGTCAATGAAGATCCCATGGAACTTTTCACAAAAGCATGGGTTTATACACACACCACTAAAGATAACCATGTCCAAATAATGACTTTTACTGTTTACTGATTCTCTGCAAATATACAACCATTTTCCAAGTAAAATTAAATGGATGTTTCCCATCCTAATATATGAATATTCCTTGTACCCCTTTTCCCATTGCCATAAAGCGGGAATTGGCTGTACCAGCAGAGAATGGGAAGGTAGAAGCTTTCCAGGTTGCAAATGTGGCACCAATATTATTATTATTATTATTATGCTATACATACTTAGATGGTGCCCATCAGAATGTGATGTATATGGATGAGCCAAGCAGCTTCTCATGCACCATACTGTGAAACCTAAGGTTCTGGGCAATGTCAGTGAGTGCTGCTTTCCAGGGCAGGAAAAACTCTGCTGGGCTTTTTCTAGACACCAGCCTGAACTCCTAGCAGAATGTGACTCAGATATCAAAATGATATAGGAAAGTACATTTTTTTTAAATTAGTGTAATTGGAAAACAGACTTTCAAATTCTCATTTGGCCAAATTCAGACCCTGTATAAACTACACAGCTACACTGAATAAAACCGAGTTGCTGTCACACCTGGTCAGAATTTGTCTTCGCTACTCATTTGATCTTAGAAACAACCCCATGAAATGGAGGTGTCATGTGAATACATGCCTGATAGCTGTTGGCAGAGAGCTCCCTCCTTTTGCTGAGCACCATCTTGACTTCTTTTATCTAGCCATACTTTTTTTGGTGAATTCTGTGTAGTGTTCAGTTGGCATTAAGTCTATTGCGGCTCCTTTATGTGGGCTCTCTGGGACCACCTATGAAACATGCATCCAAACAGGCACGAGGGCAATCCTGCCCAGCTGCCAGTCCACGGTTTGATATTTTGGATGTTCTTGTTGTTAAGTACTGTATCGCCAACTCATTAGCCCTGCTTTGCAGAGGAGGCAAATACAAGTGTGCATTTGTAGGAAAAGTCATATTAGAGTCTCCTAATCTATAAAGTGGTAAGAAATTACAGTATTTCCAAAAACTAAGGGGCCAAATCTTCAGATGGTGTACACTGACAGAGCTCCAAAAACTTCAAAGGAGCTATGCCAATTTACACCAGCTGAGGATCTGGCCCAAGATAGCCACATTGTTTTGCATCTCCCACCCCTGAAACAGTCCTACTAACTGCCAAAGCTAGTGATTACAAAGAGGTTTTAGAACAGGAGGAGAGATTAGTGTTACTTATGTAGCCCTTTTCAAGAGAAACGGGGGGAGTAAAAGGATGTAAGGAGAGTGATCACTTTAGATAAGCTATTACCAGCAGGAGAGTGGGGTGGGGGGAGAGAAAACCTTTTGTAGTGATAAACACCCATTTTTTCATGGTCTGTGTGTATAAAAACATCTTCTGTATTTTCCACAGTATGCATCCGATGAAGTGAGCTGTAGCTCACAAAAGCTTATGCTCAAATAAATTGGTTAGTCTCTATGCCACAAGTACTCCTTTTCTTTTTAGATTCTTAAGTTCACTGAAACATGAGAACTACATGCTCCAGTGTGATTACACAAAAGAGAAAAGGAACAAAGAACTACCTTCTATATACTGCAAACAGAAGAAACATGGAGATAAATCCTGAAGTTCTTACCCAGACAAAAATCCTATTTAAGCCAAGTTTCTGAATAACTGGCATCAGAAAAGTTTACAGCACTAGTGCACAGCATGTATAAACATCCAAAGCTTTAAAAATAAAAGAGGGGTGTTCCACTCATTACAAATTCTACTAACAATTATAACTGTATATGAATCATTTCATCCACTAATGAATTGCAGCTACTTCAAGGGTGGAACTTGGCATATTGTTAACAGCACACAGCAAAGCAACATTATATCTCAGTCATCATTTTTTCTCCAAGAACTATATTCTTAATAACATTTTCATTTTGTGCATGCTGACAAGGTAAAGAAACAGGGAACAGGAAATAACTGATGGTGTTGTCTTTCAACTCTGTGGGAGGGATTAGTAATCTGATATCAAACTGAACCTTATTTCTTATTATTTGCAATCCTGATAGCTGTCACATTTATTGGTAAAAGTTCAAAAACGATCACCAATGGAATGCTTTCCACATCGCAGCATATGGCATCTTACCACAGATCACATAGAGATTGTGTTTACTCTTTCTTGAAAACCTTGTCAATTTCCCTAATGTCAGCTCTTATTTTCCCTGAAATGGTACTCCTCCCTTTCTTCTAAATGAATGCAGTTTATCACTATACATTTAAGGCACATGCAGAAATAAAAATAAAAGCACTACCTATAATAGAATTATCACAAAAAGCATTAATATGAGCACATTATTTCTAATTTGCTTTTGAGTATGTATTGTCTCTATCATAGACATTCACCCATACTCCATACACTACGAATCTTACTGAAAAGGAATTCAAATATCCAAATATAATGTTGATTTTAAAAGTACTAACCAGAATAAATAAAGCCATCTTTTAATTGCCTCATTATCTTGAGGATATTAAATACACACACACAGCAATAACAATTCCACAGCTACATCAGCCTTGCAAAATTCCATTCACTCATCCACTTGGGCAACTAGGCTAAATAGACAAGTACATAAAATATCGTTAATTTTTCCTTGTCATTGATCATTGTAGAGGGTGAGCAAATACATTTTGTGCTTAGGCTGGTAAATTTGGCAAGCCTACGTTATTGTCTTTGTACAGATTCTCATTGCAAACTAAGGCAAGAGTTTAAAAAATGTTATAATTGGTTTCTATAAAAAAACAGTACAATTTTTTCTCAGAATAAATATAGATTCAGTACCATAGGCTGCAATTCAGAGAAAACTCCAGTGAATGCAAAAGGAATCTTGCTCTCATAATAACTGGCAAGTATAAACACAGATGATTTAATGTTCTATCCCCCTTTTCTAGCAATTAGAAGTTGCTTGAAAATTAAATTACAGCTAATATTTCTCCCCAATGAGGCTGGCTACCATGTTGTGCAAATGCTCTCACTGCACTGTAAGAAGCAAGTGGCTGTCCAGAGGAGACTAGCTGCCAGCATGAAAATAATTAAACACCAATATACAATGGGCCTCTTTTCTGTGAAAATAAACAGGTGCAAAACCAAACTATTCCACTGTATATAATGACCACTGAGCACTGGGATGAAGATTCATTTTAAAACACAGAAATCTGCTGGCGGTGCAATTCATTGCCCTTTACAAGCACAGTTTAACCATTTAAAATAAATACTCCATTAAATAACTTTCTCATTTCTCTGATGGTTCTCCATCTGCATTGACCTTCTCTTTTTGGAACCACCGAAAAGCCGACTTTGCTGTGCCATCACCGCTCTGTTGTGAAAAGCAAATGAAGATAGCCCAGAGAAAGCCACAGAGCCCAGTGTAAGCTGTTCTCAAGTAAACAGGGACCAGAACGAAGTTTGAAAGCTGTATTGGAAAGAGAGAGAGTTCATTGTTACGACCTGATCCTGCATTCTTTAGACAACCAAAAATTCCAATGACTTCAATGGGAGCATTGGGGGGGGCACAATGTAGGATAGGACTGTATGGCAAAGAAAGGGTTATTGAGTTCGCACTGATGTTAACTTGAAACTCACCTGCACAAAAGGCCAGTACATCAGTCCAGTCTGAAAAGAAAGTGATGGACTAATTACTATTATGTATTTCAGTTACAGTGATTTATTTCAAGTATTCCTTTTTATTGACAGTATTTAACAAGGACTAGGAAATACCTCACCAAAGTTAATAAAAGGTGTTCAATTTCAAATTAGGCAGTTCAAATAAGAGGTGGTAATATTAGAACTGCAAATAACCCCTATCAGCTGCTACCCTAAGAATGTCTAAGAGATTATTCTGCCTCGGTTTATATACAAAAATCTGACAATGCGAACTTCAAAATCATATGATGCCTGATATGTAAGCACATTTACCAGATGGCTTAACAAATGTTTAAATGAGTGAATGTTTATTTCAGCTGTGAATGAAAAATACCACTGAACTTTATATTTATTTCACACTTGCAACATTCCTTCTACTTGCTCATATACTGTAAGCCTCTTTCTTAGAGCTGAACTGATTAATTTACACAGAGTAAGCAAGATCAGTAGAAGGACACTGTTAAACCAAATGTTCTTACAAATATATAGTGGGCACTGGTAATAAGAACACCCTCCATGGTGACAAAAATGCCCTTTTATCCTCCCAATGCAATAGTTCTATGATGAGAGGTGAAATGTTGCAATATTTATCCTGCTAATTTTTTTCTCATGATATATTTGTCTTCCAAGGCCTGGAAAATCTTGGAAGTCCCTGATTTGCTCAGTGTTAGGATTTGTGTTGGCTTTAACCCACACTTGTTAGCGTCACCTATCTACCATTTAAAATAACATAGAGAAATGAGCTAAAATTGGACATCAGTAGTCTTAAAGGTGTTCTTAAAAGAAGGGAAAACTGTCAGTGAAAAGTATAGGGTGAAACTGAAAACTAAAAAAGATGTCTTCATAACTAATGTTATTAAGAGGTGTTCAAGAAAGTGGTGCCAACTGTACTACTAACTATAAACCAGTCTATGGCTATTTCTCAAGATAAATGGTATTACAGCCCTTGAGTGTAATTATCTTTGTTACATTGTGGATACTGTTATTGACACAGATTCAGGTGCATTTGTAAACACATATGCCGTACAATTTAAGGATGGAATCAGTTTGCCCAACTGGAGATGGTAGCGGTACCTGGTTACCCATAACTCAGTCTTACTGCAGCTCTGCATGGAGCCCCTTGCACAGAATCCCAAAACAAAAGAAGTGAGAGGAAGCAGAATTAAAACAGAAACAATGTTGGAGGCTAGCATCCTATTTTGATTTAACTGTGGCATTCAGTATCATTAATTGTTTTGCTTAACCGGGAGATTAATCAACTATTTGCCTCACCTTATATGTATTCCAGAATTTCTTTTTACAGTCGGAAAAAATGTTCTCTTTCCCCTGAAGTATACTCATGCCTGCTAGCAAAAAATTTAGGACAATCAGAAAGATTGAAAAAAGGGCCAACATTTATTTATTGCATCAGAATTTTCACATTATGTCACAATGGTACAAGTCTCTTTGAAAGAAAAGTTAGAGTGCAAATGTTCTGCATGGCTTCTTTATCCTGCTATATCACATCTCCTGATCTGATTCTCTTAATCTTCAGTGGTGACACCAAAGAGGTGATCTAAACAAGATCTACTATGCTGCATCTACAGTGACAAAAATGGGCTGGATAATTCATCAATGGTAGCAGCAGTAGAAATTATGGTGTAGACAGGGCTTGGCATTTGGCTCAGGATTGGATGACTAAGTGGTCTAAATGCCAATTTTTGCCATCATAAACAGCACCTTTGATTAACTCCGAAGTGTAGATTTGAAGAGCAGAGTTGCTCTAAAATGTACTTTTTTAATATTCTGTGGACAGCAGTTTGAAATTTATACACACGCAAGCTGATCTACTGCCCATTATGGTCCTAGGAATATACACTTAGGAGCTCTGTCATTACACAAAAAGAGACTGATCCAGAGGAGAGCTGGGCACATGCAACGATGGTTGGAAGTTAAAAGTTAGACAAATGCAAATATTGGACAGTAAAGAGAATCAACCCCTAGAACAAATTACCATAAATAGAGTTTGGGAGTGTTGGATGTCTTTCTAAAAGATGTGCTCTAAGGCAACCAGAAGTTATAGCCTGCCTTGTGCTAGAGGTTAAATTATATGATTATAACGATCCCTTCTGACCTTAAAATCTACAAATCTATGAATATACACATACTGTAGCCAATAGGAGTTGAAGATGGTCAGCAAAACTCAAGATTGGCCCACTATAATAGACATTTGCATGCCATGGTATGACTGTTATGTACCCCTCCACTTATACAATGTCTACTATTACACGTGTGTCTATCCTATTACAATGTATAGCTATCCTATTACAGTACAATATCCAGGGATTTCAGTTCTATCCTACTAATCAAGTAATTTTCATGCATCTATCTATTCACAATGGTGACTAGGCAGATAGCCTAGTCAAAATTTGTACTAGCTATGGGCTTCTTTCCTCCCTTCATTTCCCTCCAATCATACCCTGAATGATCTCTTTGTCTGACCATAAAATGAGAATCTCATGATACTTACAATGTTAAAAGAGTCTAACCACCTACGGGCATATCTATATAGAGAAAAGGCCAAAAATAGCTATTGCTCACAAGCTCCTTGTGTATATTCTCTTATTCTGCCTAAAAGTGCCTTTGTGCCGTTTAGGTTAATCCGTTTTAGATTAAGATAATTCAGAATAAGGCTCACTTATTCTGGAATAAGAGCATCCACACATGGAGCTAATCAATAACAGCTAGTCCACTTTAAATTAACATGCCCACCTCATTATGGATGAACTTTCATGAGTAGACAAGCCCTTAGTTCTTATCCCACACGTGGTTTAAATTAAATGACAGTCTCATTTTACACTACTCTTTTCTAAAATGGTTTCTTAAATTATTTCTCTTTTTATTCATCTCACTCATTTTTTAAAGTCTTCACATTCATTAGCTTTGTTAAGGTTACATATTGTCATCACCATCTCTAACAGCAATGTTCCACCACTTGTATATATTCCTAAAACTGGATCTGGCACAGTTCAGTTTCTAACCTGTTGTGTATTGCTGATATTTGCTGTTAAACAGCAGTTGTGTTTCAGTTAGGAGGTAGCTGATGTAGAATAGTGAGTAAAGTAACACAGACTGATTTCATTAGATACAGTTTCTACAATCAGTCTGTAAAGTGCTTCAGCTCATTTGGGATTAAATAAAGGTGATAGGCCTGAATTACCACTTTTGCACTGGTGTAATTCATTGAAATCATTGACGTAATTCAGGCAAAACATAAATCATGATTAAGTGAATCTAGCCCATTATTTAAATGTTCATTATGTAGTTGGTATTAATAACTACTTATGTTTGCATTCATTCTAAAAAATCCCAGGGTATAATGTGTGAGATGCTGTGTGCATTTTAGGAGGAACTGAGTGTAAATGGCACCTTGCAGGAGGCACACAGCATCTTGAAGGATCAGGCCCTATAAAAATACAGTCCCATTGAAAATCTGCTACCTCTAAGGATCCACATAACAGACGACCAGTGAACAACAGAATAAAAAGCACTGGCAGAGACAGGTGCGATTTTATTCAGTGACACCAGAACAAATCCCTGAACCTATGCTGGGGTCACATGTTCAATGGTGCATGATTTTGGTTGTATACCTATCTGCAGGAGAGCACCCATGATGATGTCTGCTGGAGTACTCCAAGACTTCCAAAACTGTTTTCTAAAACAGTTGTGACCAATTATTGTTTTGCACATCCTGAAAACCAAAAATTTGGCCCTTACTGCTAGCACACTGTGAGACTAGGCCTTGTTCTTTAAAGGTTTTGTTTGAAAGACTCAAGGTGCAGTAAAGCACACGGAATGCAAATATCCCACCTGGGGAGAATGAAGAAGCTTGGATGAATCCGAGGACAAAGGTCACATTGGCATATGGTGCCAGGGCAAAACCATTCCTTGCTGCTGGGGCTGGGTAGGGGCTCAACCAACCCCTTCTGGGGAGGACACAGTGATTTGAACCATGGGATGGGGGCGCCAACATGGTGTTGAAGTGAAAGAGGAGCACGATCTCTGGTATGGATAGTGGATGTGGGGGCCCATCAGTGGAAAGCGGTGCAGAGGGTGCAGGAAGCTCAACTATAGGGAGAGACTGAAGAGTGTTCAGCAATGGTGGGGGGTTGCAAGTGGCTCAGCCATGGGTGAGGGGGCACAGGGTGCTGGACCATGGGGAGGAAGCATGGGGGACTGAGCCATGGTGAATGGACGCAGTGGACTGAGCCATGGGGAGGGGGTGCAGGGGACTAGAGTATGGGGAGCTGGGCCATTGGGAGGGGTGCGGGGGCTGGGCCAAGGGAAGGGAGCTCAGGGGGCTCGGCCACAGGGAGGGGGCATGGCAGATTGAGCCACAGGAAGTGGGCATGGGGGCTTGGCCATGGGCTGGGGACACAGGGGACGGGGCACGGGGGGCTTGGCCATGGGGTGGCGGCACGGAGGGCACAGTCATGGGGAGGGTTGTGGGGGGCTTGGTCATGGGGAAGGGGCATGGCGGATTGAGCCACAGGGAGGGGGCTCAGGGGGCTCGGCTGCAGGGAGAGGGTATGGGGAGCTCGGCCACAGGGCGGGGCACAGGGGACTCAACCATGGGGAGGGGGCTTGGCCACGGGGAGGGCAGCGGTGGACTCAACCATGGGGAGGGGGCTCAGCCACGGGGAGGGGGCACGGGGGGCTCAGCCATGGGGAGGATGTTCATGGGGCTTGGTCACAGAGAGGGGGCGTGAGGGGCTCAGCCATGGGGAGAGGACTTGGGGGACTGAGCCGTGGGGAGGAGGTGCAGGGAGTTGGACTTTAGGGAGGGGCTGTGAGGGGCTCGGCCATGGGGCGGGGTGTGGAGGACTGAGCCATGGAGATAGGGCGCAGGGAGTTCGGCCATGGGGAGAGGGCGCGGGGGGCTCGGCCATGGGGAGGGAGTTCGGGGGGCTCGCCCATGGGGAGGGAGTTCGGGGGGCTCGCCCATGGGGAGAGGGCTCTCGGGACTGAGCCACGGGAGGGTGCCGGGGCCTCAGGCCTGCTCCCGGCCGCACTCACCCGTGTAGAAGGCCAGGATGGCGACAGGGGCCCCCACCAGCTGGTCGCACAGCACCTTGGCCAGCACCGCGCCGGGCGCGCGGCCGGGCAGCGCCCGCTCCAGCCCCCGCAGCCACACGTAGTTGAAGTTGCCATGGAAGCTGAGGGCCACCAGCGCCACGTGCCGGGTCTGCGCCCAGTCCGGCTCCTGCCCCGGGCGTCGCCGCAGCAGCTGCTGAGCCGCGTCCCCGGCCGAGAAGAGGCTGCCGTAGAGCAGCACGTTGCAGAGCCAGGGGAACCGGCGCACCCCGCTCCGGAGCAGCGGCCCGGCCATAGGCTCCCCGGCCTCCCGTGCCGGCTTCCACCCACCGCCGGGCCGGAGCAGCAGAGCGCACAACGCCGCCTTGCGCTGCCTCTTCCGCCCCGCCTCTTGCCTGCCGGAGCCGAGTCCCGAGTCTCTCGCCCGCTCTCCTCCTGTCAGCTCTGCCTTGCCCCCGCCCCTAGCCTGCCCCTCTCCTCCCGGAACTGCCCCGCCTTACCCCATCCCTGTCGGTCCCCAGTCAGACATGCCTCTGTCCTTGCCTTGCCCCTCCATCCCCTAGCGGACTAGCCCATCCATCCCTCCCTCCACTCTACCTGCTCCTGTCACCACCTCCCGCTGCAGGAACTACCCCCTCCCCCTGCTTTCTCAGACCTCCTCCTGTGAAACCTTCGTCTTCTCCTTCTCAGAGAGACCCCCACATTTCTCCTTCTGACCCATCGCATCTGATCCTCCATAGCCTCTTCCCCAGTTCATAAAACCCAGCAGAAGACCTACTCCCCATTTCTCTCAGACTTCCTGGACGCTGTTAACACGGTAACAGCCCATACTGGATAAGACCACATAGTACAGTATCCTCCAGTAGATGCCTCACAGGCTGGAGTAAGAACCCTGCTGTAGATATACGTGGGGGGCAGATCATTCCACAGATGTCTCATCCTCATCTCTCATAATTGGAAATTTGCTTATGCCTTGAAACACAGGGTTTAATATCCCCTCCAAATGTTTTATTGGTATTAAGCTTTGTTGTTTTATTAAACTTCCATCATCCCAACTTTTTCCTGAGCAAAAGTAATTTCTATTTGTACAACAGACTCCTATGCACAGTTGTATTGAAACTGTGGACAGACCTGTGCCCCAACAAAGAATTTTAAATACATATCCTGAATCTAGTGCTGGGGAAAGGTGCTGGATTGATAGCCTAGGGAACTATTTCCAGCAGGTAGGTGGCAGTTCAGGCTCTATGTTCAATCAGTCCTTGACAGCTCTACTAACAGCTGTGGTGGTGGGTTTTGCAATGGGATCACTTGACCAATGAGAAGTCGACTAAGACTCCTAACTCCTTTCACAAAAGGCCACATTTCCATTGAAATGAGTAAGACTTACTGTTAAATAACTCATATGTGTAGGAGATTATACCAGCATCTGGTGAAATCATTTCAAAGGAAAATCCAATGAAGATTAGAATACCTGTGAAACAGATGCACATTACCTATGTATTGCTGATGTAGGCTGAGAGCCTGACAAATCTATTGAAAAGGACACCTGTTACCCAGTCAAATTATATATCTTTTAGGGTTATAAAGGTTGAAAAATAAGGAGAATTGTGTTTGTCCCTTAAAGTTTGGCCCAGTATTTAAATCCGCAATCTCTACAGGCAAAGGACAGACAAGTTCTAGGTGCTGAGAAGACATCTGTAGATCTGAACTGCAGATTGCTTTGGGTACTACTGGAATCAGACAAATCTGATGGTCTTTTCTGAGAGACTTGCAGAATTAGTGGGTGAAGGGGAGATAGTACATCCACATGCCATATATTTGGATATTATTAATACATTTTATACTGTCTCAGAAACATTCCTAGAAAAAATAATTCAAATAGGTGTGGGAAGCTTTTTAGGCCAAAATCTGGCTAAAAACGCCATAAAGAAAGGAGAATGACAGACAGCAATGTGTTGCATTTAGGGTAAGTATATTATGTAGGCTACAGGGACCACAATTAGTTATGCTCTTTGTGACGTTGCACTCTATATGATTTTATAAAAATATGCTAATGAGTGTGAATATAATGTAAGTGGAATATGCTTCATGCAAAAGGTCTCTTGTAAGGTATCATTATAACGCTTATAATCTACTGAGTGTGGTCATCCTATTTGTATAAATGTATCACTCTTGTATCTAAAACTAGAAATATGAACTATAACTCTGAGGTCCTATTGTAATTATGCAAAGTGTGGGCCATAAATGGTGGTTTGGAATCTTAATGGCTCCCGTTAACCAGGACAATTACCTGTAGATGGCTCTGTTTTACTTGTAAGTCTTCCTGTATATCTCTGGGCTGGCAAGTGAGTAATGAAGTCTTACAGTGACATGTGATCATGTCACCTGAACTGGAATCCATCTTTAACATGGTGCTTTTCCATTGAGAAGGAGGGGTGGGAACCCAGAGGGACAAAGGATTCCCGAGTTATGCAAAAGATATATAAGTGGGTGGAACAGAACAAAGGGGGTGGCCATCATGAGAAATCCCCTAGCTACCACCTGAGCTGGAACAAAGGCTGTACCAGGGGAAAGGATTGTGCCCAGACTAGGAAGGTGTCCAGTGTGTGAAAGAAACTTATTGAAACATCTCTGAGGGTGAGATTTTATCTGTATTCAGTTTTATTACTGTACTAGACTTAGACTTGCATGTTTTATTTTATTTTGCTTGGTAATTCATTTTGATCTGTCTGTAACTACTAGGAACCAATTAAATCCTACTTTCTGTATTTAATAAAATCAATTTTTACTTATTAATTAACCCACAGTATGTATTAATACCTAGGGGGGGGCAAACAGCTGTGCATATCTCTCTATCAGTGTTATAGAGGGCGAACAATTTATGAGTTTACCTTGTATAAGCTTTATATAGGGTAAAACGGATTTATTTGGGGTTTGGACCCCATTCGGAGTTGAGCATCTGAGTGCTAAAGACAGGAACACTTCTTAAGCTGTTTTCAATTAAGTCTGCAGCTTTGGGGCACGTGGTTCAGACCTTGGGTCTGTGTTGGAGCAGACTGGCGTGTCTGGCTCATCAAGACAGGGTGCTGGAGTTCCAAGCTGGCAGGGAAAGCAGGGGCAGAAGTAGTCTTGGCACATCAGGTGGCAGCCCCAAGGGGGTTTCTGTGATCCAACCCATCAGTCTTATTTAAAATCTTCATTATATGGAAGTAGGAATTAATAGCATACTAATGATATCGGCAGATTATAATAAATTGAGATGAATAATATAAAAGGAGCTAGAGCAGTGGTTCTCAACCTATTTACCATTGTGGGCTGCATATGCAGCTCTCTATGTATTATGTGGGCAGCATCCACACAATATATATACTACCTGTATGTCCCTGAGGATGTCACATGGGCCGTAGCTATGTGCTGTTTGGGCTGCGGGTTGAGAATCACTGGTCTAGAGAGATTAAACATTAGAGATATGTTATGCACAGAACATAACATGAGCTTTAACTGGAGAAAATATAAGCAAACACATCTGGGGGGAAAACAGAGACTTTTATGCTGCCTGCATAATAAAACTTCATAGAATGTGTGAATCATGGGAGATCATTATGATACTAATCCCAGTCTCTTCTGCCCAAGACTCAGCACCTTTGAAAATTAAGCCATTAATTCCTTCATGCCTCAGTTCTCTGTCTGTAAAAAGGGAATAATACATTTCCTTTCTCCACACTTTGTCTGTCTTGTCAATTTAGATTGTGAGCTCTTTGGAACAGGGACTTTCTCTTACTATGTGTTTATACAGTGTCTAGCATAGTAAGCCCCTTAAAATAAATAAATAAATACAAATAATTACAAAATTGTAACAAATAATAATAATAATATAATGCACAATCTTGCACTGGCTTTAATTCTATTTGGGGGGAAATTGTTTATATTCCAGAATCAACAGTTAACATGCAAACACTGGGCCCAATCTTCCTCTAAGTATAGTAAATGGCAAATCTAGAATGGGATTAGGCCAGTTATTTTGAGTGTTGTGCTGACATCCTTTGGTAATCCCAGTGCACTGGAAAATGGAGATTCTTGATCTATGGTAGTTTCAGGGACCAGTGTAGCACACAGATGTAGGAGGCACTGAGAAATTTAATAGGACAACCAAGGTTTTTTTAAAGGCTAATGATAAAACATTATTTTATAAAATACAGTTTGTTTCCCAAAATCCAGAATAATAATGCTGCTGCTAGGGTTTGTCTTCTGAAAAGGAGGTTGTCTTGTTTTGGTCTTTTGACAATATATGAGCACCCTCAACAACATTCTCTCTCATGCAGGCAGTTGTGGAAGCACTAGTCAGGTAGGAGAATGGGGGATAAATTGACTGAAAGAAAGCTGCTAATATGTTATTGTTATTATATAATTATTATAATTTATATTTATATTATCAAGTACCTAGTGGCCCATGTTATGGGCCCACCCACACTGGGGTTCAACAGAGTTAGTTTCTAAACACTGGATAGGCTGCACGGATGGCAACCAACCATATTAGAACCATGTTTTAAAATGTATTCCATTTAGATGGAAATATGTTTATGAAATTACTTTAAACATGGTTCCCTAAGTCTGTTTAAAGATTAGTGTAGGTAGGGCTTAAAACAGCTCCTAGTTCTTGCATAATAAAATACACATGATAGGAAATGAAAATGTTTTGTTGTTCATGATACAGTTACAGCCATGTTAATTTCAGCTTCATTGAAATTACAAAGAGAGAAAATCAATGCTGCCAAATTTTAAGAGCAAATAGAGCTGTGGCACCAATTGTAGAGCTGAGGCACCAATTGTAAAGGAATCCATGTGGGTAGACCCCTAAGGAGGGGAAATATCTTCAGCTTTCAAAAAGCATATTGCAAACCACAGCCCAATTTTGCAAAGATTCACACATGATTTTCCCACTGACTTCAATGAGACTATTCAGAGTGCGTAAAATTAAACATATGCCTAAATATTGCAGGATTAGGCTTGATCCTTATAAGAATTGAGTGCCTGGAATATGAGCTCAGGACCAGGCACTGAGGGATCAATCCTGTATTCCTTGCCATCCAAAACTGCCTTTGAAGTCAGTGGAAGTTTAGCCTACAAATTACAGAATTGGGCATAAACAAATTTTTAAATATAAAACTAAAATCCATTATAAAATTATTCAATGTTGTCCTTTTAAATTACAATAAATGTTCTCTTTAAGAAAATCAGTAGACCATAGCAACAAAACCTTGACACATTTCTGTACTTAATGACTTTAAAGAAAAGAATTCAAGCTTTTAAATGTTTGATAAAAATCTGCTAGAGATAATGCTTTCAGCCTATGGGATAAATCTCTTTTCTTTCTTTTTTTTTATTAAGTTATTATTTTAATTTAAACAATTCTAAATGCTCTAATTTGATCTAGCAATTGACAT